CTTATGCCTCCCCGATTGCGTCTGCAGTTTCCCGCTTCTACAGCGTCTCAGGTCCAGTTTTGGTGTTGCCTATTTTCAGGTTGCCAAGTTTTCAATGAAGGAAAACCAGGCCTAAACCCCATAAGCCCCAAGCCTAGACGATACTTCAGTGTGTATTTGTGCGCCTCAGACGTTGGAGTAGAACTGGTAGTACTATAGTGGCCTACAGAATGACCTATACCATTCTGGGACTCTTTGTTGAAATTATAGTACCGTATACGCCAGAACCCGAGTCTAATTGTTAAGGCCTCCAGAAATGACCGCTTCTGGATGTGGGATGTCCTTGAGATCTGCAGTGTCTACATTCATCGGCTGGACTTCTCTTGGCGATGAATCTTGTGAGCAAGTCCCTGCAGACTATTCCTGCTTGAAAGGTCTTGGTAGCTGAGTAGGTAACCTTTGAGGGTTCCTCAAAGGGTTCTAGAAATTTAAAGGACCCTTGAAAGGTTCTATAAGGTTCAGCTTGTAGTCATCAAAGTCTTTAACTTTTTGGGGCTTATATAATCCTACCATGACTGAACCTTAGCCCGGAATAACCTACCTTTTTAAGGGCTTATAAGGCTTATATAAGGAAATCATAATAAGCAACCCTAAACAGGTAGGTTTCTTAGGGTCCAGGAGGAGGTTAGCCTTTTCTGGGGCTATGGTAACTCAGCCCCAATGAGGTTCAGTTTGTAGCTATCAAAGTGATGCAGCTGGCCCCGACAGTGCGGACAAAGCCCTGCTAATATGGGACACTCCACCAAATCTTGCTCATAGAGACCCTTTGGTTTGGTCCATTTCTGCGGTAGATACATTTTGTAGCTAGGATTGGGGTTAGGATCCCTCAACAAGGATGCAAGGGAGCCCAAGCATGGAACTGCAATTGTAGGTCGAGGTTTAGAGCTTATGTTGGTGAATTTTTCGCGACCCAGAACCGTTCTTCGGACACATATAATTATCCCTTCTTTGTGGATGTATCGAGATCCGAGACCAAATGCTATGTCCGTTAATTACGTACTCGTCAGATGGGCAAGGACTTGAAGAGACGTGAACACGTCGAATGTCAGCTGTTCCATCTCTCGTAATAGCACGGCATCGCCAGAGCCCGCAAGGGTCAGGTACAGACTGTTAGACAGCTCTGCCACTGCGAACTCGGATGTGGATCTGCACTTCAATTCCATTTAAATCATGGGGGTTAGGGTTTCGGGTCTAGGCAAGGTCATGGGGGAGAGCAGTATCTTCGTTGAATCTTACTGAGGGTCTGCCGGACGAGCGAGCTAGCCAAAGAGCCACGTGCTAACTTATGTAGAAGAGCCGACACTGACTCGTTTCCGGCGACTACCGTTTAATGCCAACAGCCTCCATCGAAATTTCAGCACCATCCCTCACTCAGGTTGTATTTGAGGCCATGAGGTCTTGGTTTTCGACGCATCTTCGATTTGAAGAGCTCCCATGGAAACGGGGAGCGGACAACTTGCGGAAGTCCGCAACATCCGAGAGACGTAGTGAGACCTTGCTCAGGGCTGAAGGCTGTGAAACTCTTGCCCTGTTGGCTACAGGCCTAAATCCTGAACGCCGAACCTTGCATCCCGAGACGAGTCTTGCTAAACGGCTCCATGGGTCTGTGTTTGAGCTGCAGAGTTGCGGGTCCAAGAATTAGATTGGAGGGTCGTGGTTTCTTTCAGAGGGGGTATTCATTCATGCTTGCAACCCACCAAACGCATAAGACCCCCTGACAGCGATCGTGAGTTGTCTGACCTGTCGCACAACGCTGTCGGCTTTTCGGGTACCTGGTACGGAGTGTAAAACTGAGCCCGACAGCCCGTAGCTTCAAAGGATACCCTGGTGGGTGTAAGTGTCGACCAGAGCAGAGAGAGCAGGCATTGAGATGAAGTCAACGGGTAATAGTCTGTAAGCAATCCTTCTCCCCGACCGCTACACAGGGCAACGAGTCGCGTGGACCTCAGGAGTCAGGTCCTTGCAGCACAGCCAGCGCAGCAATTTCATCATGAGGCGTCATCTCAGGCCGTTCGCAATCCGACATCGTACACTCCGAAGAATGAGCTAAAAAAACCCTAAGTCTACACCAAATATCAACCCAGAACCTTAACCCCTAACCCCTAGCGTGGAACCTTGCGACGCTCATACAGGCTCATACATTCAAGCTGCCAAGGCATTAGCTCAGCACTCCCAAGCCCTAAACCGTAAACCCGCAGTACATAGCTCAGCACTCCAAGCCCTAAACCCTAAACCCTAAACCCCGAAACCCGAAACCCTAAACCCTAAACCCTAAGCCCTAAGCCCTAAACCCTGAACCCTAAAGCCTAAACCCTAAACCCAAACCCTAAGCCCTAAACCCTGAACCCTAAAGCCTAAACCCTAAACCCAAACCCTAAACCTAAACCGTAAACCCCGAAACCCTAAACCGTGGCTGAACCCAGGCCTTCCTGAAGCCGATGGTCCCTTGAAGCCAACCGTGAATTGAAAATATTACCCAGACATTCCAAAATCCCTTAATTAAGGAATATACCTTAAATGATATTAGGGATCCTACTATAATTTAAGGTATATTCCTTAATTAAGGGATTTTGGAAGGTCTGGGTAGCCTCACCACCGAAGAAGTCTTTCCGATATCATCCCCCAGCACGTAGGAGCTTCGAAGGAGCTAGAACAGGGTTCAGGCTTTCAGAGTCCATCACCGTGTAGTTCCTTGGAGTAGGCTTTTGGAGTTGGCCTTTGCCTCGACGATGTTAGGCTGTTGTTCACGACCTGAAGCCCTGAATCGTAAACCCGAAACCCCCCGCCCCCCGTTTGGGTTCTTCTGAAGTGGTACGGGGGACACGGTTTAGGTGTGCCGGGGTCGAGCCCTGCCGCATACCAGCAAGTTATCATATGAAGACTTGAAGCTCTGGTTCGGCTTGGGGGTTAAGAGAGCGCAGCCCCCAAACCCACAGGGTGCACTAATGCAATAAAAGTATAGACCAGAAGCATATGCCGTCAAACGAATGACGGCTGAGCGGCGCCTCATGCGTGACCCGTGTTGTTCCCGCTCCACGCGCGTACACGAGCTTGGGGCACGACGTGAACCCGCAACTATCCGTAGAGGGTATACCAAGAGTATTTCCATCCTGTGTCCGGAAAACAACCCCAAGTGAAGCCTAACGCCCTGAGTCCAAACCCCACCTCAACCCCCCAAAAATCCTACCATGTTAAGGACTCATACAAGAAGTCATAAGTAGGAGCCCTAAAATGCAGGTTAGGTCCCCGAAATAGTACGGCACCCTTACAAAAGGACCCCGAACAAGGACCCTACTTTAGAGAACTACTCCCAGGTATCTCTTCTTAAGCTTGCTAGGCGCAAACAGGAATTACAAGATATGGCACAGCCCGGTACAACCCTCTGAAGCTCCCGAATTGAAAAACCCTAAACCCTCAAGCCCCCAAGCCCTAAGCCCTTAAGCCCTATGACCGAAAACCTATACCCTAAACGACCTAAACTCTAAACCCTAAACCCCTACATGCTATACCATCCGTGACTGGCTTTGCAAAGAACACGAAGGCCCCAAACAGCCCTGCAGAAGCTCCACAGCATGTAGGGGCTGAATCACTGGTACGTACTATAGTCTTCCCGTAAAGTTGTTGCACTTAAACTTGCGCAATACCACCTTACGCGGACCATGCAGCAGGGTTTAAGGTGGGAGGGAAATCGCCGAAAACACGTAGAGCTTAACCGTCACGTGGCCTAAGATGCCCTGCCCGGCCGCACGCGCGAACCCCGCCGTGGCTCCAAGGGGGTTCCGGCCTCAGGAGCAGTCTCGGGTGTTGCTTCGGGGATCTCTCCTTCGTAGAGTGATAACTTGGCAAGTTTTTGGAACGGATCACCTGCTGTTTCGATTCTGCATCGAGTGGTTTATGAAAGGTCTACATTCCGCTTAGACAGGCCCTCGGTACAACAAATTATCATACTGTAGTTGCTTGCAGCAAGACCCCAACCCTGAGTCTGTGAGAGTTTCATCTTTATCCTATGCCAGACATCAGGCAGCCAAGAAATCCACCCTATGACAGTATATACGTAACCGGTCTTATTCCTTAAAAGTAACCTTATATCATAATATACCCCAATTCAACACACCATTCTGATTATCAGGGCTCCCATCTTACCTCAAGCCAGGTGGCCAGGAACTGAAGGTGTGGCTCAGGCTCTGAATTCCGAGCCCCCAGCAGAGACCAAAACCCAAAGCAAAAAAGTATTGAAGCCCACCGCCTTAGCCAGATATCAGCTTCAAAAGCTACTGTTTCCGTGCTTTGCTTGGGGGATCTCCTACCTGAAGCCTGAAAAACCCTAAACCCTAAACCCCTAAAGCCTGAACCCAGGGAGGAAAAGGGCCCTCAAAACAAAAAATGCCTGAACCCTAAACCCTACTTGGAGGGTCGGGGGACTTAGTAAGTAGGTAGTAAGTAGACTTATAAGTACCCTAAAAGGGACCCCACTTGGGGTTATGGTACTTATAAGTCCCTAAAATAACCAGTTACTAAGTCCCCCGACTCTCCAAGTACTGGCTGACCTCAGCTCCGCGGCGCCAAGGTGCCATGAACCTTCCTCCAGTTGACCGGCTGACATCCATAAGTCCGGGTGCTTTCATAAGCAGCTTTGCCTGAGCCCCCCGAGGTCGTTCTAAGGCACATGGGATCTGAGTTGCGAGGGAGACATTAACCTTGAAGCCTAAACCCAACAACCCCCAAACCGCAAGCCCTAAACCCTAAACCCCTAAACCCACCAAACCGCTAAACCCCTAAACCCTAAAGCTTCGCCTGAAAGCCCGCTCAAGATTCGCATCATCCAGCAGCCCCTGCGACGCATCGCCATTCCGCGCGTGGTGCGATACAGGGTGAATTAGCTGGACTCCGATTTTGGGTGCTCCCTGAGTTTATTAGAATTTGAGAACCCTCCAGCTTGGATTCGGTTTACTTGTATTGTGATGAAAGTGGCTAAAGCAGAGCGGGGAAAATCGCCGTCGAGCACCGGCCCGGCGACCGCAGCAAAAGCGGTGCCCAAAGCCACCGCAGGCGCCGCCCCGCGCGCCACCCACATGTGTGGTTACGACTTCTACCAGGGTACTCCGGCCTCCAAGGGTTCCTCAGACCTCGGACTCCGCCTACTCGGGTGCGGGCTCCTCCACGGACAGGCCTCCAGAAGACCACCCACTCTCCCTCGATGAAGCGGCAGACGTTTGGAGCATCATCCTCGGTCTGGCCCTGGAGGAAAAAGTGGACAGGGAACCAGGGGTGATTGTGGGTGAATACACCCGGAATAGTATCATGGAAACTTTCCTGGAATACTCTGCTCGAGACCGACTGACCCTTGTCTTGTCGTTTCAGGGGGTTGTGGGGCGACTCTTGAGGATGGTGTGGGCCTGATCATTGAGGACAGCGTGGCAGAGGAGAGGGAAAGACAAGAGTCCGACAGAGCTGCAAGGGGTCAGGGCGGAGAAGGCGATGCCTCCTCTCTTATGCAGACCACTGGTCACAACTGCAAATGATTGGACGCACTACTTGCTTGACTTGAGGAGTGCCCTCGAGAGCATGACGAAAGGGGCTCGCCTGGCAAACGCTCGCCTGTTGTGGCGGTGGTTGGACCACCGTTGCACTGATGAGGCACGCGGCTTCTGCGTGGGGCATATGCCTGGCCGGGTCGCCGACATATTGTCGCTCCTTGTAGCTGCCATGGAGAGTGCAAAAGATGAGCAAGATGTCCCAGCACACCACCTTGACTTGTGCACTGTGTGGTACAGGAGGATGGCTCTCTTTTTGCCGACCCATGGTGGCAGCCGCAAGGGGCAGGGTCTCCCAGTACTCGATGGCATGCCGCACCCAGTGCTGGCACAACATCCGCTGCCGGACATGGGGTCGGACTCGGAGGCAGGCGATACAGAGGCACGACGAGCCATGCGCACAAACAGAGCGCACTTCAGGGACTTTGACGGGGTGCTTGAGGAGAATCGCCTCGAGGCTGCCGCAGAGGAAGCTGAAAACGCTGCCTTGCAGGAGATTTTGGACCGCGACCTTGAGGCTGAGCACGAGGAGGTTCAAGCCTCGGCGGACCGATGGATGGAAGATGAAAGCCTCCTCAGTTCTTTGTCTGCGTCTGAGTACCAGGCCTGGGAACGGCGAGCGATGAAGCGAGCCCTGACAGAAACTCCTGCGCGGAACTTGGATGTGGAAGTGGCGACGGGGAGCAACGATGAACCGAGGGTCAGTCGGAGACTCCGTATGCCTCTCCCAAGAGAAGGGCTTGTCTTCAGCCTTACAGCCGGGTTACCGTGGAAGATGAATCTGTGTCCACTCCGCCTACACACGCGGACACAGCGCCTGAAGCTGGGGTCGGGGCGTGGCCTATTCCTCTACATGAGTCTGCAGGGGTCACGCAAGTGCTGGGTGAAACAGCTGGACCTCCTGGCTCCTCTGATGAAGATACGGTGTTGGTGGCACCGCCTGCATCTGCTGTGTCGACAGGGGTTGCAGGGGTTGCCTCTACTTCCTTGGGTGCGAGCAATGGGGTTGGGTCAGATGTTGCTGCCGAAATGCATTTCCAGATGCCTGACCTGAGTATGGAGCAGTACCAGCACTTGTATCAGCAGTGGCTCTCGGGGCTTGTTACCTTGGCTGAGGTGGAAGAAGGTCATGGGCGGGAGGTTAGGGAGATGATGGAACTCCAGATGGTTGCCGAAGCAAGAGGATTGGAGACGCAAGTGTGATGTGCAAGTTGGTTGTGGTCGCCTGGCCACCTCGGCCTTCCGTAGGCTTGAACAGTATGGGCAGACAGAAAAAGGTGCTGAAAAAAAAAAAAGCTTCGCCTGAACTGAACCTCCGATCCCTTAGCCGGAGAAGCTGAAGTTCCTAAGACTCAAGGACGTGCCCCAACGTTTAGGGCTTTGGGTTTAGGGTTTAGTAGGGGTTTAAGGGCTTCAGCGTTTAGGTGGTTAAGGGCTTCAGGGTTTATGGGTTAAGGGGCTTAAGTTGCTTGAAGGTTTGGGTTTTTAGGGCTTAAGGGCTTAAGGGCTTAGGGGTTTAAATGTTGAATCATCCTGGAGCCCAAAGCTCTGTAATCCGCAGCACAAACCCTAAACCACAAAACCCTGAACCCAAAACCCAAAAGAAGGGCTGCTTTCAAGGGCTCTGCAGATCGAAAAGGAGCCCTTAAAGTAAAAAAAACCTGAAACCCACAACCCTAAACCCTAATCTCAACAGGGATCTAAAAAATCGAGCCCCTGGTAAACAAAAACAGACCCTTACACTGCACGATTGACTCTCACACTAGACCCGTAGCCCTTATGCCAAACCCTCACTTTCTTTTCCTCTGCCTAAACCCTTTCTTTTATGGATCGGGTTTTCTGATGTCGTTATGTACATGCCTATACATCCTTAAGCCCTCAACCGTGAACATTAAACCGTAAGCCCTGAACCGGAAACGTTAAACCTGTCTAGTTTCATCTTTTCTGCCAGGGGGGCTCAGGGATTGACTGGGGCAACGTCTCACAGCGAGCCTCAGGACAGCCCCACTGGGATCATCTGGGAGGATTTGAAGAGAAAGTAATGAAGGCTCCAAAAGAGATTCACAGCGATTCTCAGAGGGCTTCATGGTGATTGGGGGTTTTCGGGGGTGTTGGGGTTCCAGGTGTAGGCAACAGCTTAGAGGAGTAGTTTGGGCATGCTGAAGCAGATTGGGGGGCGGCCCGAGATCTGTAGTTTTAGGCCGCACTTGATGTCCTGCTTGAGAGACTGTGTGTTTGGTCGGAGTTTGACTGCAGCCTTGAATTGAAATCCTCGGAGATTGTCCCAAAACAGACTCCTCCGTTTGAGCCTGTCATTGCCACAGAAAACAGACCGCCGTCCTGCATTGGTGGCTTCGTGAGTAGCTCATGGGATATCTGATTAGTTTGGAGATCGGCTGGTGGCTCACTAATATAGGGGCCTCAATAATTGCCAAGACTATTTTGGGGGCTCCTCATTATAAATAAATAGACTATAATGTGCACCGAAACCCTATTCCATTTAAATGAGGCCCCTATATTATTCCTACAAGGGTCTTGGGCAATCTTGCAAGAGCCGGTCGCATCAGCCTTCCAGCCGGAGCCCCAGACAGCTGAAAGCACCGACCAAGCTTACATGAAACACCTGGGAGTTTACGAAAACTACGGGTACCGTATTTGGGGGTCCTTATGATAAGGATGCTACTACTTGGGGTACGTTTTAGGGTCCCTATTTTCGGAAACCCCCACCTCCTTCCTCTGCAAGACACCAAGCAGAGCCCTTCAAGTAAGCCCTTTGAAAGGAAATCTCAGAAGGAAGTCCGTAAAGGAAGCTTTAGTGGGAAACCCTTAAAGGACCATAACATGGTGTTCTCAAGTGTCCTCGCTTCTCATCTGCATTCGGGTCAACCTGTAGGCTCTCGGCAGCGCTGTCACGTCATGTAGGAACCCCATAATACAGGGGTTTAGGGTTTAGGGGTCTATCTACAGAGAGGTTGGAGAGCATGGTAGTAGAGTCTGTGTATAGTACGGAGGCCTACAGAATGGCTTACCGACACTATGCTGGGGTTCTCTTATCATAATTGTTTAGAATAATATGCCCCAAAACCGCATTCTAGTTTTTAAGGCCCCATACTCTAGAATTATAGACCCCTTATAGTAACCCTTCTGGATCCCTTTAAAGGAGCCTCTATAACCCTATTCTAAGTATTAAGGGTCTCAGTGACTCAGGCTCCGAGGCTTCTAAGCACCTGCAAAGCCAAATCCGAAGCCCCAGAGGCGGATAAGATGAAGGAGTTTCCGAAAATAGGGGTACCTTATATTGAGGGTCCCTATAACAAGGATCCTACTATGTAGCCTACTATATTAGGGTCCCCATGCCAACTTGCACAAGACTGTTCTGAACCCGAATCTTGGGTTTAGGGTTTAGGGTCTACGATTTGGGACGGTTGTAGATCTCTGTAGCAGCAGAAGAAAGCATTGCAGGATTGATTTTCGGAGGTCGGTTGCAGTATTACGGACGCCCCATGGGTTTTTACTTCGGAGTTGCTGATGAATTGGCAAGGGTTCGAATCTCCCCAAAACCCTAAACCTTAAACCCCAAACCCTAAACCCTAAGCCCTGAAAACTTAACCCTTATGACCCCTAAACCCTAAACCCTAACCCCTAAACCCTAACCCCTAAACCCTAAACCCTAAACCAACACTCTGCGGTCCAGCAGCCTTTGGTCCTAAAGCCCCGAAATCCTTAGTCCTTGGAGTGTTTTTCAAAGGGGGAGGGGTTTAGGGTTTAGGGTTTAGGCTTAGGGTTTAAGGAGTAGTAGTGTTGTGAAAGAACCCCAAGGCATAGTATGGGGGTTGGTTTAAGGAGTATTCGTTTTATGAAAGAACCCCAAGGCATAGTATGGGGGTTGGTTATGTGTACTTGTGTGAAGTCTTATATCTCCCGGGCATGCTTCCCAAAGCGACTCCCTTTCGGCCTCCCTTTCATGCCGCGCAATCTCAGCCAGGCAAGGCTGAAGCCCAAGCAAATGGTAGCATAACAAAAGAAGGCAGAGGAGCATTTTTACTTGGAGGATCATGGGACTTAGTAAGTAAGGTTATAAGTACCCTAGTTGGGGTTATAAGTAATTATAGGTGTAGTTACCTTATTTATAACACTCGTTACTAGGGCCCATGATCCTTCAAGTATGAGGCACAAGGATTTCACCGCTGAATTGCTTGAGAGATTGCAATGGCAGCTGAGGACGAACAGGCTCCTCCACGAAGCCCGGCACCCTAAGCCGTGTCTGGACCCTAAGCTTGATACCGTAAGTTCATCCTAAACTTGCAGCAAGGCATCCCAAACACAAAATCCAAAACCCGAACTACCTAAGCTCCTCAGCTCAGTCGCCTCAAGACCTACTGCCAGGCCTCCCCTAATTCAGGTTTGTTTTTTGGTTGTTGCATGCCATGGCGGCCGAGACGGCAGAGCCCGAAACGAAGGCGCTCCCTTTCTGCTGTTACTCGTACCACTACACGAGGTGTCTTTACCATGCGTCCAACTAGTTCGGGTCTATGTTAGGAGCGAGACCTAGTCGTCGCTGTCATCGTGGTCGTGTCATCATCATCATCACCACCATGAATCGTTATCATCTTCGTCAGCGGCCGCACTTCGACTAGTCGGTTGTGCAGCTTCCACATCTCTGGCAACGAGTGGGCGTTCAAGATGCCGCAGCATCGCTGCCACCAGCAGCATCATCATAATTCTTCTCCTCCTCCTCCTCCTCCTCATCATCATCACCGTGATGATCGTCATCACCATCATGGCCACCAAAATTACCATCTTTTATCATTGCCACCACATCGTTAGCATCCTTGGATCCTATTTGCATGCTTAGCTTGATGGTTTTGTATTCTTGCTATGCCGCTATGACTGTCGGCACCGTGCACTACTGAACGGCCGAATGTGTTGGTGTAGGGTTAGGGTGTTGGGTTAAGTAGGGTTTTGTTGATGCTGACGTTCGAGGATTGGCATGACGTGGAAACAGCTTTACGAGAGCTCCAAGGAAGCATCGGACGGCTGGGCCCCAAATCGGCTTTTGCTTCAGGTCAAGGAGGTTCAGGGTTGAGGGTTGATCTAGGGGCCTTAAGAATTGTCTATACTATTTTGGGGGTTCCTTATTAGGACTAACTGTAGTATAATGGGCCCAATAACCTTAACTTAATCATCAAGGCCCCTATATTTAGGATTCTGGTGCAGAGTTTGAGATTTCTAGCTGCATAGCTTAAGCTTTCATGTTCGCATTGGTGCTCACAAGGTTGGCAAGAAGTTTTGATAGACAGGGAGCCTTGACTTACCTTTGGTTAGCAAGGAATGGAGGAATGGGGTACCACTATAACTACTATTACTACCATTCTTCCATTCCCTACCAACCGAAGGTAAGTTGAATCCTAAGCAGGTCAGGTCGTCGTCTTTGTAGCTCTTCTGTGGGAGCTTCTGCAGGGCCCTTAGAACAAATAAGCGGTGTCAATCAAAGGAACTCTAACAGCCCCTAAACCCCAAACCCAAGCAGGTTTTGATTGACAGGTTTTTTGTTACCTTGGGCACTTGAAAGCAAGAACGTGGGGGCCGGTGCATCTCAGCTTTTTCTCTGCGTCCGAGCCAGACTCCATCTCATGGAGGGTCCGAATCGTTCATTGTTGACCGTAGGGTATATAACCTGTAAGCTTTTCGGGGGACTACAATCCCGATTTCTGGCAAAGGTTCACCTTTATTCACCCTAGTATACTGGACAAGCCAGTGAAAATGGACAGTTTAACAAGGATAGTCCTTTACAGTCCCTTTTACATCCGTAGAACCCTACTCGAACAATTAGGCCCGTAGGTTACACGTTTGCTGGCTTCTCCAGGGTGCATGCTGGCCGGCTGTAGGGCGGCTGCGTGGGTTGTGCTTGGCTTTCTTTCCGGGGTTTCATCTTTGGGTAGTAAGAGGCAGGGTTCAGGGTACGATAGTGTCTTAGGGTTTAGAGTCTAGGGCCCGTGAAGGAAACACATAGGCCTGCGGGCTCACGGGCTAATTAGCGAGCAAGCCTCCATCGAAACACGCCCAATGAGGCTTTCAGCGGAGGAGGCAGGGCAATTTCTTGGGATTTGCATGGGTGTATAGAGTTCAGCCGAAGGTTCAGGGCTCCCTGCAGGGTTCTTGTGAGGAGCTGAATTTACTTTAGCATGATGGGGGCCGGCAGT